GTCAGGCGGCCTCATGCTACAGGACTTATCTTGGAAACAGGAGGGGATGTACACCTGTGAACTCAGTAATCCTGAGGAGACATACGTAACCAACACCTTTCTGAGAATAGAGAAAGGTAAGAGCAAGTCTGTCTGAGTGAAAGCTGCCATTCAAACTATCAGCATATCTCAGGTTTGATATTCGGGCACAGTTTCAACCAGTTTCAGCTCTTAGACTGGGGCAAAAGAAGTCATTTATTTACAACAAAACAATCCAAATACATAGGTGAGAGGACTCTGTAAGGCCAGTAGTGTGGGGAGTGGATGTTATAAAACCAAAGAAAAGGAAACAAAAGATACCAAACAAAAGGTGTGTGGAGGGAGAGGAGAGCTGCTAAAGGACTGGCTGCTGCTCTGACTTATATCCACGGGGCACACCGAGTCCAGGTGTGCAACATACTGCTGAGTAACCTCTGACAGGGCTGCAGCCCTCCAGACAGAATCAACTGTCAACTCACCTGGCGCTGCTCTCACAAGCCGTCCCCACACCTCTCTCTCTCCTGCAGCTGAGTGTAAACCACAGCCACCTCCACAAGCAGTACAAAGCACACAGAGGGACCCTCACACTATTCCAGTAGATGTAAGTAGGTGGTTGCAAGAGTGCCGTAGGTCTCTGTTAAGGCATTGCCCGAGGGTTGCTTGGGTGTTGGGATGTTCGCTGCAGTGTTAATAGGTGGTTGGCTGCAAAGTTGAAGTAGCTGAATGTAGGATTGATTAACATCAGGAAGATCTAACAGCTGAGGGTGAGGAAACTGTAGATTCTGAGAGATAGACACGTGAACAATGCTACAGTAGTTATCAGTCAGTATCTTGTGGTCTGAGTTGGTTGGTTCAAGTTCATTTAACTGAACTGTCTCTCTCTGTTTCAGTGAGTCGGACTGGTGTTACAGGCATTATTGTAGCTGTGGTGGTTGGAGTCATTGTGGTTGTATTGCTAACAGGACTTATACTGTACTGCAAATCTAAAAGGGTAAGAAAAACACATTCTGCCTTCAGTTGGGATTTATTTAATGTGTACGTTGTTTGCACTGATGATGATGTGTGTTTGACACAGAGAGGAACAAGACCAGAAATGGTACTATGAGAAAACTCCTTGTGGTAAGTATATCTTACATACTGAATACAGAAGCACCTGAATCATTTTACAGTGCACGGCAGGCTGTAATTAATTAAATTAACTAATAATAACTCAAATTAACCCACAAGCAGAGTGTAAAATAATGCAAAACTCATCCAAAAATAAACTGGCTCAGTGGTTTGAACATGAAACGTTTTTCTAAATATAAAAGTTTGTTTTGAGTTTCACTTGGATGTATTTTACCAATAACTTGTGTTCAGTTTTGTTCGCAGGAAAGAAGAAGACATGTATGATAGCAACTACCTCCAAGATCCCCAACAACCTGTGCTGCTCTCAATGTGACTGTATTGAATTAATGTGAGCAAATCCTCAGAAACTCATGTGAAACTGTGGCAAGCAGCTTTCAGCAACATCAACTGCTTGACAATGTGTATATTAATTTAATCTGATACAATTCCTACATTATTATTGTATATATACGGTAAATTAATTTAATCACTACTGTTCACTAAAGTATTCTGTTTTATATGTATTTTGTTTTATTCACATATTTTAACTTTTGCACAAATTTAAGTCTTTTGTCTCTTTAATGTTTGTAATTTTCTTTTTAAACATTTTACATGGAAAACACTAACTTTTACTGATGGTAAGAACTTAAAGTTGATCTTTAATTTTCAGTTTCTTCCCTGTAGAGGGCGCTGCAACACAGTGAAGTGATGCAGTCACTTTACAAGCTGACTGAAATTCTGTCACTGCTGAGTTTATATAAACACTTTAAACTTGCTGTAAATATCTGACATACATTAAATACTTTTTATTCACCTGATCCTTTAATATCTTCCTATAACTTGCACCAGTAAATTCTGCTTCTGCAAACTTCTTGATTTTTCAAAATAAAGAGGATTTCTGCAAATCAAAAAGGAGAAAAAATCATTTTTTCTCAAAGTTTAAAGAGTGTTGAAGTCTTATTTTGAGTATTGAGACTGAATTGAAAACAGAATTTGATGCACACACTGTTATACACTAATGAGTAAGGCCCATATAAGACATATTATTTCTGCCAACAGATCCTATTATAGTAGTTAGCTTGTTGATAAGTGAAGTAGCCTTTACTCTGAGAGCCAGAGTGAATCAGCTGCAGCTCCATCATCACCATCTTCTCCTGTTACTGAGGACGTCATCAGAGAAGATGAACAACTCAAACTGAGTTATTACTGAACATGACTTCCTGTATTAAGACCAGGGAATCAGTTTGAGAGTGACAGCAGCTTCTAATCCTGTTTTCAGTTTAACTCTGGGGCTTCCTTTTTATTGTTCATGTATGGAATTTGCCTTTAAGTCTCTAAAGTTGAATTCTTCTGTGTTACAACAGACTGGACGAGCACTTGTTGGAAACTGATTCACTTTAATTGTGTGAATAAAACATGATCTTTCTCAGTGTGGGAGTCAGAGTCAGATGGCTTTCCACCTTTGTTTTATGCTCAGAGTCTAATGAAGACGTAAACAGCCGACTGCAAACTGAGAAAGTACAGTAAAGCTTTGATTGAATCCACACTTTGTTCAGCTTTTATCTTATTTCTGTTCCTCACAAGCAATATTCATCTGTTATAAAATGAGAAAAAGCTGATATTTGTGGTAGTTATTGATTTCTTTATTTGAAAATCAGGAGATCAATAAGCTCTGACACACACTCACTGATGGATTTGTGGACTCTGCTGCTTTCTAAGGCTGCACAGAGGAATTATAAAGCTTTAGCTGAGTCCAGCAGCAGGTGGAAATGAGCAACACTTGAATCTTCTTCAGTCAGAAATAAAACTGGCAAATCTAAAATAAATAATTAAAATGTTCTTCATTTACACCAACATGGAGATCATTTATATTTATAAGCTGGACTGTGGAGATTTATATAAATCAGAAGTAAGATGTGATTTCAATATATAGATTTTTGTTTTCTTGATGCAATAATATAAACTTTCACAATATGACAAAACACAGCAAATATGCACATAATCTTAATTATTAACAATAACACGTATGATTAGAGCTTATTTAGACTGCAGCACTGAGAGTCATCTCCACTGGTTGTGATTCCTCTGTCAGTCACTGCTGGATGAAGCTCTCCCTCTCCACTCTACCTCCCAGTAACATGGCCCAGTCAGAGCTGATGCTGCTGCTTCAACCTCTCTGGATCATCAGGACACAGCTGATCCTCCAACACAACCTCCTTCCTCACCACTCACACTCTGACTGGCTTCCATCTGATGAGAGAAGAAGACAGACAACAGAAGTCATAAATCAGTGTTTACAGAGACTCCCTCCATCAGCACATCCAGTATAAAGACCAGCAGGGACTTCAGTCCAGTTCAGACCAGAAGGTGAGTGGCTGTGTAGCGTAGCCTGCTTCCTTTCAGCTCTCATGTTAACGTATTGGAATGAACACACTGAGCTGAAGCTCACAGACCTGCAGACACTTTGGACATCAAGTCTGTTGACTCTGCAGATTTCACTGAAGTAAACAGTGGAAATAAAGTGCTGAGAGTCCCTGAACGCATCATTACTGCAGAAACAGAGAGACATTCACTGCCCACTGTAATGATGGATTTACTGCTGTTTGGGTTCAAAGCTGATAAAAACCACAGTCTCAGTCACATTTGAACGTTTCATCTGCTTTTGAAATATTACAGGACAGATCTGTAAATATGGAGTCTGTTTAAAATAATATAAAACATATTTGGACTAAACAAAAGACAAATGGACAGATATATATCTGATGTTAAAGGTCCTACATGTTCATACAAAGACTGAACAATAGCTGTGATTACTGGACTTCAGCAGAGGTTCTGGTCTGTAAAAAGACCACATGGTCACTAAATATAATGATGGTTCTCTGAAATAAGATCCAGTGGTTTGCAGGCTTCAATCAGACTGATCTTAGAGCTGTGACAAAGATGAACTGATCAGTTATTTAGTGTTGAAATGAGAGAACAAACACGTTGAGATCAGATTTGATGGTACAACAGTTTGATGAATGAGGACCATTGTCTCTGTACATCTTGTAATGCTGTCAGCTGGAATCCAGCTTTATTTCCTGTGGACATGAACACAACAACAGCAGTCGTCTTCACATCAACTCAAACACATGATCACAACAAGCTTCTGGCTCTCTGATTGGCTGACTGTTCTCTCTCTCTGTCTTTCTGTCTAACCCTGAAGTCACCATCCTCCTCTCACAGCTTCACTGAGGAAAGCAGCAAATAGTGGATCTTGCTTTGATACTAACTGTGTTTTGTACAATACTGCTGAAACCAGCATGGACTGACTCCAACCCTCTACTGACCTCAGAGTCTCCAGTCTACAGTGTGGATCAAACAGCAGCTTCACATCTGAATCCTGCAGCTCATTGTAACCCAGGTCCAGTTCTCTCAGATGGGAGGGGTTGGACTTCAGAGCTGAGACCAGATAATCACAGCTGATCTCTGACAAACTGCAGTCACTCAGTCTGAATAAAGAATAAATGATCTTAACTTTAGAAGACAATATTCATCTGTCATCATTTGTTAAAACACATTGCAAACAACAGAAACCAAAGAAATATTTCTCCTTCAGCAAGTAAACTAGATCAATTCAAAACAAATATTAGTTCAGAGGATCTTCTGTATACAGACAAACATTGATTTACTATAACAACTAACAGTGGACAATTTCTACAGTTTCTTTAACACAGAGAAGTCTTTGTGACTGCAGACTAAATTTAGTTTGAAAATATGAACAAAAGGAAATTTACAACTACTATGGTTGTAAGTTATGTATGAACATAAATTAGGTTCAGGTGTTAATTAAACATATCAGATCTACAATAGTAACAGTGAGTCAGTGAACTGACCTCAGAGTCTCCAGTCTACAGTGTGGACTCTCCAGAAAACCACATAGCAGCTTCACTCCTGAATCCTGCAGGTTGTTGAGACTCAGTTCCAGTTCTCTCAGATGGGAGGGGTTGGACTTCAGAGCTGAGACCAGATAATCACAGCTGATCTCTGTCAAACTGCAGACCCTCAATCTGAATAAAGAATAAATGATGAAGATGAAAAAAATCCACTTATAATCCAGTCAGATGTGTTCAGGTTTTAAATGTGTAGCTCAACATTACTATGTCCTAGTCAATGAGCCTTTCTCCTAAATGAGTAGAGTGACTTTGTCATTGTGTTATTGTGGATCATCATAATGTCAGCCGTCTACAGACACAATATTTTAAATATTTGTTATTATAAATACACCAGAGTTTTGCTCTAATTCCATATCGGTGCAATTAGGTTGTAGTGACCATAATATCATTGCAATTGTAAGGAAAACAATATTTCCTAAATCTGGTCCAAAAATAATTAGGAAAAGATAATTTCTTGTGTTCTTAGAAAAGAACCCTGAAGGAGCATTTCAGACTTTCAATGACACAATCGTTGACCGTCATGCAGTATTAAAAAAAATGTACAGTTAGGAATGGTAACACCCCATGGTTGGATAAGGAATTAAAAGAATATATGATGGAAAGGGATCAAGCTAAATTAACAGCAGTTTCATCTAGTTTTAGATCAAATTGGCAAATAGATTGCAAATTTAGGAATTTTGTAACTAAATTAAATAAGAAAAAGAAATAAATGGTATTTTGATAATAGAATAAATGAAATTAAACAAGATAGTAAACAATTATGGAATATTCTGAACTTCCTATTAAGAGGAAATACTAAATCCACCCCATGTTATTTAGAAACCGGAGGGGAATTTTATACTAAACCTATAGATATAGCAAATCATCTAAACACTTGTTTTATAAACAAGATAGATAGGTTAAAAACTACCACCCAGACTAAGAATACAGATTTATCACATATATTAATAGATCCTATTATGCAAGGCAAAAAATTTAACTTTGAGTTCAAGGATGTTAGTGTTGCTAAAGTTAAATCAATGTTAATGACATCCAAAAATAAACCACCAGGGGTTGACGATCTTGATAGCAAATTGTTCAAGGATATGGCTTCATTGTTTGCTCCTATGGTCACGCATATTATTAATTGATGTTTCAGTGAAAATGTATGCCTACAAGCATGTAAGATTTCCAAAGTGGTGTTGATACGAAAAATAAGAAGTTGCAATTTTCAGAATCCGATGGTCGACCTACAAGTTTATTACCAATCTTGAGTAAGATAATGGAAAGAAATGTATATGAGCTGATCCAATCTTATTTTTCCAATAATAATTGAATCAGTAATTTCCAACATGCATATAGAGAAAAACATTCAACAGCCACTGCCTTGACTCAAATGGTTGATGACTGGCTTGTGGAAATAGGAAAGAGAAAACTTATAGGAGTAGTTTTGCTTGATTATTCTGCTGCTTTTGATATCATTGATCATAAGTTCATGTTGAAAAAACTAAAATGTTATGGTTTTTTCTCAGTCTGCACTTTTATGGATGAAAAGCTACTTGAGCGACAGAAGGCAAATGGTGTACTTAAATGAAAGTTATTCAGATGTTAAAGTGGAAAATGGAGTGCCTCAAGAAAGTTGTCTTGGTCCACTCCTATACACAATTTTTACGAATGAGCTTCCTTTAGTTTTAAAAAAGTCACGTATTTCAATGTATGCTGATGACTCCACAATATACTTAGCGAGAACAACAATAAGTGATTTAAAGACAAATCTAGGTCAGAATTTAAAGCTAGTAGTAGATTGGATAAACAGTAATAAACTTATTTTGAATGTGTCAAAATCAAAATCCAAAACCACATCAGTTCAGCGTACAGTAATACACAGAGCAATGCTAGAGTGGAGATCAGTTCCTAATCATATTATTCAACAAAAGAATATATATGGTTTTGAAAAAAATACTAAATGAGCACCATGTAATAGGAAACTAAGTAATTAATAAGTACTCTTTGGTGTGAGAAGGTCTCACAGGCAATCTGGTGAAATATTGATACTTATCTGTTAGATCATGAGGATAATTTATTGTTAATTTATAATAAATTCAATCAGAGCCAGTTTTTTTTGTTGTTTTCGTTTTTGTGTTTGTTTATAGTGCTCTAATTGTTATTGTCTTCTTATCTACAGTATATGTGTGTTATACAATGTGTTGTGTCAGTATATTGTAATGAATAATGTGAGTGTGTATTTGTATAGTATTGTCACCATATAAACTGTGTGGACCCCAGTTAGAATAGCGACTGTTATACAAAAGCTAATGGGGATCTCAGCACAACATTCATACACCTATTCATGTCAACAGCGATCAATAACATGCTGCTGATCTCAGTCAAGTCAACTATATTTATCCTTCAAACACTTGCATCACTTATATACATTTCTATTCTTCTTCTTCTTCTTCTTCTTCTTATAATAATAATAATAAAAGAATAGATGTATATATGTTTTTGTCATATTTGCTGTAACTTTCACTACATCTTTATAGTATAAAGGGTTTGGGACCTTAAGTGTTCGCATTTGACAATGTGTAAATGAGACTCAACTACAGACTTTCTCTGCCGATTGTTTTTGTTCAGGCCCGGTGGATTCTTGCAAATTATATTAGGAGCACTAGGAGGAGCCAGAGGAACCAGATTTTTTCACTGATCGTCCATCTAGTGTACTTCTGTCAGGATGCAGTGAAAGTTTCAGCAAATATGACAAAAACAAACTAGAATAGTAACAGTGTCAGATGACTGACCTCAGAGTCTCCAGTCTACACTGGGGACTCTCCACAAGATCACACAGCAGCTTCACTCCTGAATCCTGCAGCTTGTTGATACTCAGCTCCAGATCTTTCAGATGGGAGGGGTTGGACTTCAGAGCTGAGACCAGATAATCACAGCTGATCTCTGACAAATTACAGCTCCTCAATCTGAATAAAGAATACATTATGTAACTCTCAAAATTTTGAAGAAGAAAACAGACTGTATCATATAGATACTCAGTGTGGATCAGTATAATATCCTTATGTCTGCACTTTACTGTCACCACAACTTTTACATCATATTAATTTCAGCACAGAAGTATAAAATGGTGTCCGACCCCAGAGTCTCCAGTCTACAGTGTGGACTCTCCAGAAAATCACACAGCAGCTTCACTCCTGAATCCTGCAGATTGTAGTTGTTACTCAGGTCCAGCACTCTCAGATGGGAGGGGTTGGACTTCAGAGCTGAGGCCAGATAATTACAGGTAATCTCTGACAACCAGCAGCCACTCAATCTGAATAAAGAATAAATTATGCAGGTAAAAATCAATTTATAATCCAATCACATGTGTTCAAGTTTTCAACGTGTAGCTCAACATGACTATGTTCTAATTAATGAGGAGTGACTTTGTCATTGTGTTATTAAGGATCATCATAATGTCAGCTTTCTACAGACACCATCCAAATGTCAGCACAATATTCATACACCTATTCATGTCAACACAATAACATGCTGCTGATCTCAGTCTAGTCTTGGTTCATTATGTTGCTCAAGGACACTTTGACATGTGAACAAGAGAAGCTCAAGTTTCAAACCACAGCCCTTGTGATCAATGACTGACCAGCTGAGTTGCAGCCGCTCATGTTAATGTGCTTTGTGATGCAAAATGCAAAGAGTCTATTTTATTTATTTATTCTCATTTTTAGTGTATTATTTATGTTCATGTTTACTGGTTGAGTCCGAACACAAAGTGACATAATTTTCTGAATGGAAGCATCATTAAATGTTCAAATGTCATTGGTGACAGAGCAGACATGATACTTCAAACACCTGCATTTAGGAATATGCTTCACACTGTCTGCTACTGTATGTTAGTTTCAGGGTGTTTCTGACAGAGAGAGGGGTCTTATGTGTAAACATTTTTCCTGAAAATAGGTTGATTATTTTATATAGATGTCTCAAATGTGATAATAAAAGATACAAATAAATAAAATAAATATTGATTTAATTTTGCATTATATTGTAGGATTAATCCTTTCTTAACTTTAGAATAAATTTGGACCCAAACTGTTCAGACTGACAAACCGTAGAGAGATTTATACTCAGACAAAACCAGAAAACAAGAGAACCAAAGGAAATTATTTTATGCATTTAAATTTGGTAGATATACATTATACAAGAGCAAAATACATGAACTGACCCCAGAGTCTCCAGTTTACAGTTCTGACTCTCCAATCCAGCACAAAACAACTTCACCCCTGAAGCGTTCAGGGTGTTGAAGCTCAGGTTCAGATCTCTCAGATGGGAGGGGTTGGACTTCAGAGCTGAGGCCACAACTTCACAGTGAGTCTCTGAGAGTCCACAGTAAGAAAGTCTGTGATGACAGAATTTTGCCATTAGTGTTACTGTTGGGAGATGGTAATGATATTTCTAAACTATAATTTCTCACACCAGGGTGACCAAATGGGAAAGGTAAAAAAAAATGGGACAGCTTTGATAACTGCTTTTTATTAGTGAAAATTAGTAAAATAGCTTTGGAATTAACCAGTTTACAGACCATTCCATTCAAATACTACCAGAGAGAGGGAGAGGGAGAGAGAGAGAGGTTCCTTACTGTTTAAAAATCAAATACATTTCTAATGTAGCAAAATATCAAAATATATTAATTGTTGTGAACTAAACAACAATATACAGTGTATAAAAAATAACAATGAACAGACACATTATAGAAACATAATGGAGACACTGTAAACACTGTAAGAAATAAAGACTATTATGATAAAATGATGACTGTCAAAATATTTTCAGTTGTATCAAGAATAAAGTCGTAACAATATGAGAATAATGTAATTGTTTTAATGAGAATAAAGCTTTGATAGAGTTATCGAGATCTGACGTGAGCAGCTCAACCAAACAGCACCCTCAGACTGAACCCAGCAGCCGCTGTTTGTCTCAGTCGTACCGTACAGTTAACAGTTAAAGTAACGTGTTGATAATTTTGTCGTTAAACAGTTTTGCTGGCTGAGCAGGCTGACAGTTCTCATAATATTACTACTTTATTCTCGCAATATTATGACTTTATTCTCGCAATATTATGACTTTATTCTCACAATATTACGAGTTTATTCTAGTAACGTTACAACTTTATTCTCGTAGACCTAATATTATGACTATATTCTCGTAACATTATTATTTTATTCTCATAATTTCCCCCCCCAAATTTTTTTTTTCTCTTGGAATGGCCCTAATACTCCGTCGTACTGTAGACATCTGCCCTTTAACACATATTATTTCAATAAGCAAGTTTAATTCTAGTTTAAGAAAACCTTTATAGTGTTAAGGTTTTATATTGTTCATCTGTGTAAAGTGTGTATCTTTACTCTAATACTGAATGCTTCAGCTTTACATTGATTTATAATGTTAATCACATCTGGACTTACTGAGCCTTTCTGCAGTTCCTCACAGCTGGAATCAGTCTCAGTCGTCCCTCCATTGATGTGTTGTACTTCTTCAGGTTCAACTCATCCAGAACCTCCTCTGACATCTGCAGCATGTAGGCCAGAGCTGAGCATAGGATCTCAGAGAGTTTCTTCTCTGATCTGTTCTCTGACTTCAGGAACTGTTGGATCTCCTGATGGACTGAGTGGTCGTTCATCTCCATCAGACAGTGGAAGATGTTGATGCTTCTGTCAGGAGAGATATCATCACTGTTCATCTCCTTCAGGTTGTTGATGGCTCTCTGGATGATTTTTGGACTGTTGTCTGTCTGACCCAACAGGCCTCCTAAGAGTCTCTGGTTGGACTCCAGAGAGAGGCCATGAAGGAAGCGAACAAACAGGTCCAGGTGGCCATTTTTACTTTTGAGGGATTTCTCCATGGTTCTCATCAGAAACACATCCAGGGTTGAATTAACATGTTTTGGACCCATGACAGTCTGCAGTACTTTGGTGTTACTGTTGGTGTAACAGTGGAGCATGTAGACGGCAGCCAGAAACTCCTGAATGCTCAGATGAACAAAGCAGTAGACTGTTTTCTGGAAGATCACACTCTCTCTTTTGAAGATCTCTGTACAAACTCCTGAGTACACCGAGGCGTCTGTGACATCTAGACCACACTGCTCCAGGTCTTCTTGGTAGAACATGATGTTTCCTTTCTCCAGCTGTTCAAACGCCAGCCTCCCCAGCTTCAGAAGAACTTCCCTGTCAGCCTCCATCAGCTCCTGTGGACTCTTCTTATGTCCCTCATCATACTTCTGCTTCTTCCTCTTTGTCTGAACCAGCAGGAAGTGTGAGTACATGTCAGTCAGGGTCTTGGGCAGCTCTCCTCTCTGGTCTGTAGTCAACATGTGGTCCAGAACTGTAGCAGTGATCCAGCAGAAGACTGGGATTAGACACATGATGTGGAGGCTCCTGGAGGTCTTGATGTGTGAGATGATTCTGTTGGACAGATCTTCATCACTGACTCTCCTCCTGAAGTATTCCTCCTTCTGGGCGTCAGTGAAGCCTTGTACTTCCGTTACCCTGTCAACACATTCAGGAGGGATCTGATTGGCTGCTGCAGGTCTGGAAGTTATCCAGACGAGAGCCGAGGGAAGCAGATTCCCCTTGATGAGGTTTGTCAACAGCACGTTGACTGAAGACTTCTGTGTGACGTCAGACAGAACCTTCTTATTTATGGATACTTTTTGGAAATCCAGTGAAAGTCTGCTTTCATCCAGGCCGTCAAAGATGAATAAAAGTTTACAGACAGCGAGCTGCTCTGCTGTGACCTTCTGTAATGTTGGATGGAAAACATGGAGCAGTGTGAGAAGACTGTACTGCTCATCTTTGATCAGGTTCAGCTCCCTGAACGAAAGCAGAACCACCAGACTGACATCTTGGTTTTCCAAGCCCTCTGCCCAGTCCAGAGTGAACTTCTGCACTGAGAAGGTTTTTCCAACGCCAGCGACGCCGTTCGTCAGAACCACTCTGATGTGTCTCTGTTGGTCAGGTAAGGCTTTAAAGATCTTGTGGCACTTGATTGGAGTTTCATGGAGGGTCTCCATCTTGGAAGCTGTCTCAAGCTGCCTCACCTCATGTTGGGTATTAACCTCTTCACTCAGTCCCTCTGTGATGTAGAGCTCAGTGTAGATCCTGTTGAGGAGGGTTCCACTTCCTGTTTCATCAGTTCCTTCAGTCACATGTTTACATCTCGTCTTCAGACTGATCTTATGTTCATCTAAAACCTCCTGCAGACCACCACTCACTAAAAAAGATAAAAAAGTTTGAGTCAAAACAAAGATTTCACAATCCGTTGATTATTTTTATCACCAATAAAAAGATCAATAAACAAATATAAACAGAAGTAAACCTTATAAAGGCCAGTTTTGCGGGAACATCAAAAAAAGAATTTCTCTGACTGTGTGTGTTTTTGAAACTGTGGCGCCGGGAACCAGATTTTCACTCATGTCACAAAACCTCTGTGCCACATGTAAGTTAGCACAATATGCTGAAGGATTTTAGTGTTCACTGTGTAGTTATGTACAGTATTACCAGTAGCGGTTTTGGGCATGGGCAAAGTGGGCAGCCACCCAGGGTGGCGTTTTTCATGACACATGGGGGGGGGCGGCACGAGCGCTTTAAAAAAGAAATCCTCTGTTCTAAAATCCTCGGTTTTCTATTATCTATCTGTTCTATCATATCACTGTGAGGGGAGTTGGCAAATTGGCGCCCCCTACAGCTGCAATCGCTTCTGCTTGCTGAGAAGGTGCTGTACACAGAAGCTGTGTGAGACGAGGGAGGAGGAGGGGGTCAGTTCACCTTTGGGTCTCCCTAATGGAACGGATAAGGGGGTGAACAGGGGATCCACTGTAAGTCAGTCACACCTCGACTTTCTTCCAAATACCGCACATTTCATTGATAATATAATAAATACAGGCCTATAGTTCATGCACATTTTTGTTTTTCTG